ATACATTAAATACTGTGGTTGAAGAAAAAAGATCTTGGTGTTGTGATAAAAAAATCACTTAAGTCATCTAAACAGTGTATTGTAGCTACAAATAGGGTTAATAGGATTTTGGGTAGCATCTAAAGAAACACTGAATGCAAGACAAGAGATATTATTGATTCACTGTATAGATCACTTGTAAGGCCTCATTTAAAGTACTGTATACAGTTTTGGGCTCCCTTCCTCAAGAAGAATATTGAATTATTGGAGAAGGTTCAGAGAAGAGCCACTAGGATGATACCCTGTGAGGAGAGACTAAAATCTCTAAACTTGTTTTCTCTGGAGAGGATAAGGATCAGAGGGAATTTGATTGAGGTGTTTAAGGTTGTTAATGGTATTGATAATATTGATTCATCAAACTTTTTTGTGTTTAGCAGTGAAAACAATAGGACAAGGGGTCATAAATTCAAGTTTTGGTGGCATAGAAGTCGTCTGCAGTTTAGACAGTATTACTTTTTAAACAGGATGGTTGACTTTTGGAATGAGCTGCCTTCAAGGGTGGTGGAGATAGAAAATTTAAGTGAGTTCAAGAAAACACTGGATGAATATATGAGTAGTAAGAGGTGGTTACAGTTGAGAGCTGGAAGGGACATCATTGATGGGCTAATTAGCTCCTTTTTTTGTCCCTTTAAAATTTTATGAATTTTATTTATGAAATAGAATTAAGGCCTATAGATTTTTTCAGGTCTGAGAGGAACATCAGTGCTAACTGATGCACTAAGCTGTAACAGTTAATGGAACCTTAATGTCCTGAATCAACTGTAACAATTAATTGAACCTTAATGTCCTGAATCAACTGTAACAGTGAATGGAACCTTAATGTCCTCAATCAACTGTAACAGTGAATGGAACCTTAATGTCCTGAATCAACTGTGCCAAGTTCCATCTAGAGAGTTATGCTAATTACAAAAAGACAGCTTGCTTTAGGAATAAAAAACATGCAGTCGAGAGATTAATTCTACTTCCAGTTTTTGAAAACTGATACACCACTTTGTTTGTTGATGGTATGTGTCCATGTAATGGCACTCTTTGTTGTAGACTTATCTAACTAAGCATTAGTAGGAATGGAAAGATCTTCCACTTCTTTAGCTTCCATTTTTCCATTCTGACTTTGACCATCCTCTTCACTGAAATGAGGAAATGTTACCCGAACCATCTTCTCCATCTTCTTCAAGGAGCAACTCTTTCTTGATGAGGGCATCACTGGATATATGACTGCAAAAAAATTAAGAAAGGCAACATTTCTGAAATACCTATTCTGGTATGATGAACACATAAGAGCAACACTGTCTAAAGTTAACTGACAGAAAATTATTAATATTTGAAATTATGAAGTAAACTGAGTAGTTTAGTAATGGAAAGTATCGGTGAAAAATCCTATTAAGTCAATTAGTATGGCATTCCTGTGATGAAACATTATGGAGTATCTCTCCACATGAAGTATAATGTTTTACCAATTTGGTCTTTCACCATTCATGATTTTCTTTTGAACCATTCCGGCCACATAACGATCACCTCTGATCACTTTCCTGACAGCCAGGGAAACACTAGTTGGAGTGCAGGGCAGTGTAATTTCCTTGGATATAGAATTGCTAAAAAATGTTAGGTTGCTTTCTGCCAATGCTGCCTGAAAAAAAGAAATCAAGAAAAACAATAAAATGGAGCAAATGTAACACACCCTCTTATCTCAGTATCTGTATAGCAAGGCAATATATATGAAATAATGTCCAATAAAAGTGGGAAAAAAATGTAACACACCCTCTTCTGTCAGCACCTATATATTAAGCACTTTATGAAAAAATTTTCAAATGAAAATGGAGAAAATATAACACACAGAGTCTACATTCAGTATCTACATAGTAAGTAATATTTGAAATAATGTCCTATAAAAATGAAGAAACCATATTCTCTCTTCTTCCAGTTGATTGAAGGTTATAATACTCTTAGCTGTTGCTTTGGATAGAACTCTAGGGCAGTTTTCAAGGTCTTTGACAACAAGTGATTGTGAAAGAAGAGCTCAGAACCTAAGTGAAGTATTGGTTTCACAGAAAGTTTGGATCTTTTAGTTCAAGTTCCAAGAAAGCTTGAATTACATTTAATAATTAACTAAACTGAAGCACAATTTCTATGACCAACCTGTAGTGAAGCTGTAATATGTTCACCATATAATCCTGGATTCTGATGCAATGTTGGACTGAGATGATCATGGGAAGAAGTGTGTGTGGTGGTAGATGGTATACTATAAAATAAAGAAGTCCACATAAAACATCTGATTAGACAAGATATTAATTATCATATGAGATACATAAACAGAGAGAGAAGTTATGGTATATAAAATCAGTTTGCTGATTTTATATAAGGTGATTTATTTTGTGGATAAAAATATATTACAAAGTTTTGTTTCTATGTGGTTTGAAGTTGTAACTTTGTAAGTGCATACTTGTGATTGTGTGTCTTGGTATTGTGAGTTTGTCATTTTATACATCAAGCTGTTTCCTTCTAAATTTATCGTGATGTGTCTCTAGTTGTTCCATGTTTCCTTATAATCTTGTCATGATGTACGTCTATTTATTCTGGGAGTCCTCGTCATGATGTACATCTATTTATTCTGTGTGTCCTTGTCATGATGTACACCAAGTTGTTCTGTGTTTCCATGTTATCTTGTACATCATGCTGTTTCCTGTTACACTGTGAAGTTGTCAGTACATATATCTAGGTATTTTGTGTCTCCTTTGAATTTTTGAGTGCATAAATTAAGATATGTCTTGTGGAGGTTTTACCAAATTTCAGTATACACAAATAAATGTTCTACGTGCCATTTATAATATGTACCACCTGGTTTTACAGCTATCCAAGTGTATGAGTTAGGAAACTAACAGAAAAGAGACATAGACATGAGTAGTAGCAAACAGAGAAAAGCTACTGCAACAACAACAAGGATGGAAGTGGGAAAGATAGACATGAGTAGTAGTAAACAGATAAAAGCTACAGCAACAACAACAAGGATGGAAGTGGGAAAGATAGACATGAATAGCAGTAAACAGATAAAAGCCACAACAACAAGGATGGAAGTGGGTAAGATAGACATGAGCTAGTAGTAAACAGATGAAAGCCACAGCAACAACAAGAATGGAAGTGGATAAGATAGACATGAATAGCAGTAAACAGATAAAAGCCACAACAACAAGGATGGAAGTGGGTAAGATAGACATGAGTAGTAGTAAACAGATGAAAGCCACAGCAACAACAAGAATGGAAGTGGATAAGATAGACATGAGTAGTAACAAACAGATAAAAGCCACAGCAACAACAAGAATGGAAGTGGATAAGATAGACATGAGTAGTAACAAACAGATAAAACCCACAGCAACAACAAGGATGGAAGTGGCAAGATAGGCATGAGTAGTAGTAAACAGAGAAAAGCCACAGCAACAACAAGGATGGAAGTGGGCAAGATAGACATGAGTAGTAGTAAACAGAGAAAAGCCACAGCAACAACAAGGATGGAAGTGAGAAAGAGGTAGAGAGAAGAAATTATTATATGACCTACTCTTCAATATGCTCCTGAACTCTTAGGGACCGTCGCCTGTGAAATTCTGACTCATCCACTGTCCAGACTGCCCCTTTTACATTTTCGACCCGCATAAAACACTTGTGTAGACTAAGGTTGTGACGCACGGCATTCTAACAAAAGAATGAGAGATGTTTCAAGGTATGAGTTGACCACTGACAGCTGGTTGAATATGCCATCACTGAATAAACGCCTCACAAGTAAGAACGAGTTTCAGCATGCCTAACTAAACTCATTTGCTTGATTTATATACCACAAGTTATAAGACTGCTAACATAGAATTAAACACAAAACAAGAATAATAATCTCAAATCCGAGGGGGACAGTGCTATAATATCTGTAGTTTATTGCCTCATCAAATATATAAATATTCTAACCAATACAGATAATGAAAGTGACATTCAAGAAATAATAAGAGCATGTCATTGAGTAGGTTATATACAAATGATTTTGAACATGCACATCAGTAAGTCATGTGACAACCACAGATGATGTAATGTCACAGTGGAACAAAATGGATCAGAACTGCATTTTGAAATTATTTTACATTATGCAGGTATTGTGATACCACCAAATGTTGACTGACTTGTGAAAGAATAGATAGCAGTCCTTTTGGAAGCAAAATATTAATAAAGATCATAAAGATGTGTTTAATCAGGGATTTAGAATTTTAAAGACTGGTGTATCCCTTGTACACAGTAGCATTGGAAAATAAAGGGTTATGAATGAATTTGAGTCACCAGGACCATTCAGAAAGAGACTTGCAACAAGTCCTTCCTCTGCTGTAGAACATAAAGTTCAGTGTCTTATAATAGATGAAAATCCACACATGCAAAAAGTCAATAGCAAAAGCTGGCCACATGTTCCAACTCTAGAATGCAAAGTAATCAAGAGTGATCTGTGTCTACAAAAGTCACTTCCACTGACATATCTATTCAACCACCATAAGTTGCTGGAAAGTATAATGGGTATTTATTTTTTTCCATAAGAAGACATACTGGTCAAGTCATCAGACCCAGCACCTATGGATTTCTGTGCACTTAAAAACCTTCTTCTTACTATATTCAATATACTCAATAGATCTGTTAAGCTTGTAGGGAGGAGAGACATTTTCCGATATGGCATCATTAAGTTGGCATCGTTAAGTAAGCCTTTTGCAATCAAAATTATTTTGCAGGGCTACTGTCAACATGTACGGTTGTCAGCTAGAGTATGGCCTGATGTAACAACATGGACTGTAATGATATGATGAGATTCCAAAAATCGTTTTAATGTAACATAATGTTTTGGGACAAGGTGAAACCTATTGGTCCATCTTGGCTGTTCCATACCTCTAAACTAAATTAAAATAATTTAAAAAAACTGAAAGCCAGCCCTTATCATTCATATATTTATCAAGCTTTTTCTCAAAATTACTTAAATTTACTGCCTCTACAACATCCGAAGGCATCCTATTCCAAAGGCCAACCACCCTGTTAGAAAAATGAAACTTCCTTAGCTGAAGATGACTACTACCTTGCCAAAATTTATACTTGAGTCCCCTAGTTCTACTATTCTCACTGTTAAATATAAAAACAAATGATGTATCAACACTATCAATTCCCTTTACAATCTTAAACACCTCAATCAGATCCCCCCTAATTCTTTTTTTCAAGAGAAAACAATTTGAGAGATTTCAGTCTCTCCTCTACGACAACCTCTCCATCCCAGGCACCATTCTAGTAACCATTCTCTGAACACTTTCCAACAATTCAATGTTTTTCCTAAAGTAAGGAGCCCAAGACTGAACACAATATTCGAAATGTGACCTGTACAATGCAATTATAACTTCTTTTGGCTTGTATTCAATATTTCTGTAGATACAACCTAAAATAATATTTGCCGTACCACTAGCAACAGCATATTGCTTGGATGGCTTAAGAGACTGATCGACTATTACACCAAGATCCCTTTCTTTCATGACACTGTTAAAGTTATTCCCATCCAAATTATACTTATAATTCAAATTATGATAACTCACATGCATTATCTTGAATTTATTTTAATTAAAACCCATTTGCCATTTATTTGCTCAACTCACTAAATGATCTAAATCCTTTTGTAAATTAGCAGCATCCTCTTCACAGCTAGTAACACCCAAGACCTTAATATCATCAGCAAATTTAAGTAATCTATTGAACATTCTTTCATCTATATAAGCAGTAACCTTTTCAAAGAATGTTAAAAGATTTGTAAGGCAACATTAGCGAAACCATGTTGATTATCCAATAAAAGTCTAAACTTTGTTAAATGACTTT